ACATTTAAAATTAGGAACAGAATCAAAGCTGCTGGCCGCCATTTTGGATTATCGCTGGAGGTGATTTTTGTGTGATAATCTGAGTTTCTCGACCAATCAGCGCGCGAGATTTTCAATAATCACTTGTGTATTTATACTAACATGAGATAACATTTGTCATAATTATTAATATTCATCAATGTTAATTAATATTAATTTCATATATTTATTAATATATTAAATTATTCATTACATCGTATTTATAACATTTTAAAAATAAATCGACTTTGTATTTCCCTGAAGAAAATAGTATGAAAATTGGTACTGAGTGCACTGGGTTTTGCGGAATCTTTATTGGAGGTAATACAAAGAACCACAAGAAAAACCCTTTTAAAAATATCTGAAAATATTTTAAAATATTCCGTTGGTTTTCACCTTCGTCATCTTAAATTTCAAAAGCTTAAATTTGCATTATCATAAAATAAAGTATCATAATCTTGTAAAGCGGTCAAAACTACATATTCTGGCCAAATTTCGAGGCTGTAAAGCATTTCGTTGCGGAACTATAGGCGAGTAAACATGACGACAATTTGTGGTTAAAATGTATGGAGCGGCCATCTTGGTGTTCCAAGTTGGTACACCATCATGGCGGACGAAATTTCAAAGGCTTAAGATGATGGAATATTTAATATTTTTGACTATATTTCACTTACGCATACTTTAAATAGTTATTTAAAACGTGTCTAAGGGGAAATGTTTCAATTATATTTTGATCGCTATTTAGATAGACGTGACGGTATTGCGTGACACAAAGTCAACCTTCATAACTCGGGAACCAAACATCGAAATGACTCGAAATTTTTCTTGTGACTTATAACACTGATTTTTAAAACATACTTGAGAAATGTCTTTATACGATCTATAATTTAGATTTTGATGTTTTGGATGACCATGTGAAAACTTGTTTACAGTTCGGTTCAGTGAACCACGAATGATAATTCCATGTCGAGGCTGGAGTTTTCGCGCATGGCAAAACTATAGTTTAAAATGCGCGGAAACTCCAACTTCGACAAAGACTATTATTTGTGTTCACTAAACGGAACTGTAAAATTGAGTATAAAGGGAGAGACCTACCAAAGTCTACTCTCACGACGCCGAGATCAGGTATAGACCATTTTCGAGTTCCAAATAAAATCTGTGTTTCTCGATTACAGACTCGACAGGGTATACGTAAGCCTCGAATTTTTCAGAATTTTTTGCAAGGTCTGTCTAGTTTCAAAGTGTTTGTATCGTTGAAGTTGTGCATTCTTTACTTTACAGTTGGTGTTTGTGAATATTTTAACACTGATACGAAGCTAATCCTTTGTACATGAGCCTATAATTAAGGAACACAGCGGTAATTTGGAATTTGGAAATGGTCTGTTGAACCCGAGGAAGGTATAGAGGCGCTGGCTGTTTCAGACGTCGACAAAACCTATGCAATTCTTTCTTGCCAAGCGTTCAAAGGTTATTTTACGTGAAAGTGGAATATCATAGAATTGCATGCGTCCAGCCCCTCTTTGCTGCCTCTAAAGCCTGATTCACACGTCAAACACAAACGCAATCAATGGTTACACGTACTTTATGTAAAAGATTGAAATAAAACAGCAGGGCCCGGTTTTACGAAGGGTGGATAGCGCTATCCGACGGATTAATCATTATTTTTATCAATTAAACAATAGAAAGTCGCGTGCCCATGGCATCTATAACGTAATGGGCGAGCGACTTTCTGTTGTCTAATGGGTTTATAACATAGCTAGATTCAAGAAAAAAAGAACCGTGCAGCCCATGGGGAAATAGTAGGTTTTCAACCAATCAGAGCCGCGCGCGTTATACCACTCATCTCGCTAGTGCGCGCGCTGTTTACGCCATCGGATTTGAAAATTTAAAGAAGAAAGGCGAGTGTCCTTGAGATCAGCGTGCGCGAGCGTGCAGTCCATGGGAAAATATTTCATTGGTTTTTGGCCAATCAGAGCGCGAGTAATAATCTAGTTTTATTATGATTTCTTAGAAAAAAAATTTCTTAGAAACTAAGATGTCACTTTTGCTCTTGAAATTATGGACGTGACACAATAGGAGCCAATGTGCACGAGCACGAAAACCTAGCACAAAGCATGATGGGAAACCGAGATCGTACGGTTTAACTGCAAGCTTACGTTTTAAAATCCCTATTTTTTTCTTCGATATTTTCTATGGGAATGTAAGTATTTCGACTGACGAAAATCACAGAGCAATTATTTTCTGATAATTTCTTTGATTTCCCTCGGTGTTTTTTATTTTTGCAGTACTTTGTTCGCCAGAGTGCTATGCGAGCTTTGATGCACACTGACTATATATGCATCAAGAGTTCCACGCTACTGTTCTACGCGCATGCTCAAGGGGTTAAAAAGTGTGGGGTCATGGGTTGTAAAAAATTGCTATATTTTGGTATGATTCTATTTAAAATTAGCTTAACGCTACTTGCTCTTGAATATTTAATAAAAATTGATAAGAAAAATTGCGTCATAGAGAAATAGGGTAATTAAAGACCTATGATCCCCCACTCATTGACCCCTTGAGCATGTGCGTAGATCAGCAGCGCCGAACTCTTGATGCCATATGTATTTAAGAGTTATATATTTTTCATTAATTCAATCGCGGGCATGTTTAAATTTTTTCCTAATCAATTTCGCATGCTTCATGACAGTTATGTTTTGCAGAAACGTTAGAGTGAAGGCATTTCACCCGTGAAATAAAAATAAAAATACTTGTCAACGTGTAATAGTCAAATAGACATAAAAGAAAACAATGGAATTAAGGTCTACCAATGTGTATTAGTCTAATATCTATTTCACGGGTTTAAACTTATTCACCCTCATTTACTGTACTATTAGCAAAGTTGTAAACTTTCAACTACATGAGCGAAATAAAAATCTATCTATCTATCTATCTCTCTTTCCACGTCAATATTTCAGGTTAAATGGATACATTTAAAATTTGAACTGTTACAAGTTCCTATGAACGCAATAAAAATTCCTAACTATCACATCTACACCTATTTCAAAAAAGGTTGCTGGTACAAGATCTAGCTCACTGAATTGGGCTGATCTAAACAGAATTTTTGTGCCTCTATCATCGGTTTTCTGGCCAAAACACGAAAAAGTGAAATCACATTTCTTGTTCTTTAAGGTCATTCTTCATATTCCAATCTAAAAGTAAAACTACGTAGTTCGGCTGTTAATATTTTACAATTTGCAGCTTGCTACTAGGACTCAGATTTCATATTTCAGATCTCCGTCTTTCTATCGTTCTTTATATAATCAGTTTTCTCTGTTCACCCATCGAAGATAGCGGTAGACTCTCGACCAGTTGTCTTATTTGTGGTTTTGGCTCATGATCCCGTCCAAGCTCTCGCCACATGCATAAACTTAGAATGCCATACCAAGCACGCTGCATTCTCTGACACAAGGCTCTACAAAACGTTGTCGGGGCCTGCATTGAAAAATAAATAATATAATAAGCAATTATTGAAATAGGTTGAGCAAAATATCTCGAAAAACACCTCCAATTGTTATAACGACCCTGGAACATACAGAGCGAACCCTGAAACGACCTCAGGGCTGATCTAAGTCAGGGCATGGCTAACTCGCAGATTGAACCCTGAAACAACCTCTGAGCTGATCTAAGTCAGGGCACTGCTAACTCACAGATAGAACCCTGAAACAACCTCTGGGCTGATCTAAGTCAGGGCATAGCTAACTCGCAGATCAAACCCTGAAACAACCTTTGGGCTGATCTAAGTCAGGGCATGGCTAACTCACAGATCAAACCCTGAAACAACCTTTGGGCTGATCTAAGTCAGGGCANACCCTGAAACAACCTTTGGGCTGATCTAAGTCAGGGCATGGCTAACTCACAGATCAAACCCTGAAACAACCTTTGGGCTGATCTAAGTCAGGGCAGGGCAGTCAGGGCTGAGTCCAGGAATTGAACCCGAGACCCCAGAGGTGGAGGCAAGTGCACTTCCGCTACCCCACCCTTGATTGCTCAACTCACTAACCTTTCTGTCTTTAGAAAGAGTATCTCGATAACAAGCGACAATCCATTCAATAATCAATATTAAGATACCACAAATGACACCTCCAAGAATAGTAACAAAAACTCCCGCCAAATCATGAATGCCCAGCTGTGTCCCTCCTTCGGTAGCGGCGGCGTCTGCCGCTTCCGTTTCAGCGCCACAGACACTTCGCGAACGGAACCATTTTTCTGTCATTCTCTCGAGGAAGCCATCTTGTTGGAGCTCAAGCATGGCCACGCTGAAGTTATGCGTGTAGTGAGACTTTAAAGGAAGGGCGAAGCCATAGTTGATGCTTCCAAAAGGCCTAGAAAATATTTGAATTAATTAACAAATAATAAATA